TTGAGCCACATCCCCAGTCCAGAAACTGGTTGTTGATCACAAAATTAACCCAAAAACAGACTGCCTGGCTCAGGTTCCTGAGATAGTGCTGATTTCGGCACATATTCCCCTATCTGATCTTCATATAAACATTCTCCATCTCCCCAAAGACCTTGAAAGAACAAATTGAGGCATTAGTCATCCTCCTTTCCCAGTTGGTAGCATCCTCAATAAAGTCTTTCATTCTCAACACTTGACTCTCACTGATCAGTTTTTCCAAGGGATGAGCTTCTGCACCTAATTTCAGAAATAAGCTCCCAAACATTTACTCTCCAGTTCCCTGTGCACACAATAACTATGGAGGATTCTAAAGGACTTTTGTTTGCTTTGGATAAACTATTGCTATGTACTATGTGAGGAATCAAAGCAGAAATATAAAAAAGTTATTTAGGCATTAATTTATTTATGCGGGAATTGAACCCAGGGGCTCTCAACCACTGAGCCACATCCCCAGACCAATTTTTAGATTTTATTTAGAGACACGGTCTCATTGAGTTGCTTAGGGCCTTGTTAAGGTGCTGAGGCTGACTTTGAACCCACGATCCTCCTGTCTCAGCCTCCCAAACAGCTGAGATTCCAGGCATGTGCCACCAAGCCCAACAAGACCTCTTAAATATGCGAAACCACAAATGTCAAGTTAACTTTATAAAGATATAGGAAAAAGGACTAGGGTTATAGCTCAGTGGTAGATCATCGTCAGCACCACATAAAATAAAGAAAGATATTATGTCCATCTACAATTTAAAAAATATTAAAAAAAAGATACAGGAAAAACAAAATTTAGGATTTGTGATCAACAAAGACTATCCTGGATAAATTAACAGGCAGATGGAAAGTTGGGAAAAGGTGTCTGCATTGTCCAAAAGTGACAAGGGAAGAATACTGAAAATCAAGATATCAGGTCCTTGGCGGTGACTTAGGACAAAGCAGCCCTCAGGAAAGAAACATCTATCCAGCGCCAACAGAAACGCCTATCAATCAGAGGGATCTCCTGACTAACGCCTATCAATCATCAGGACCCCCTGGCCAATCCTGGAGTTCAGCCAGCTCCCGGGACCAACTTCAGTGGGACAAGGGACTCTAAAAGTACCTTTCCTGTCCCAAGCCCTTCCCTTCCTGCCTAAGCTCCATAAAACCCCAGTCCGGGTTGAGCTCCCAGGCAGTTTCTCCTCAGACCCTTCACTCTGTCTGTCTGATCAAGTTCCACCAGGGAGTGATATCTCAATGAAGCCTCCTTTGGCAGCCTTTTAAAATCTGCCTCCTTTGGTTGCTGCCCGCCTCGCCTGGTCTTACACAAGAAACCAGTTATATCAAGACATGGGAACCTCAATATAAAAAAATGAACACAGAATATGAGCAGATAATTGACAGAAGGGTTACCTGAGCAAAAGGAAGGATAGACAAAAGGAAGAAAAGGAGGGAGGGAGGCAGGAAAGAATGTAGGAAGGAAATAAAAAATGGCCATTGCATTTCACTGTTTATCAATGAATTTCTCCAAATTAGAAAACACCCAGTGATGGTTTGCCATGACACACGACTAAACCAGTTAGGGTCACTCCAGGTGAACAGGGCTGGCATGAAATAATCAGAGACAGAGAAATACCTTTTCCTTTAGTTTCTGTGACAGCTCCTCTGACCCAGCTCCCACAAAGGAGGCAAGGCAGGCAAGAAAGAGAGGACATGCCTCGAACCTGGGTTTTATTGGCAGGAGGATGTTCCATGGAATATTGTACCCGCCAAAAGAACAAAGGGGCAGGATTACAAAGGAACAGGTGAGTGTAACTCAACCCCAGTGGGTGACACCTACTCCATGCCTTGTTATCTGAGCTGGGGTAACAACCAAGTTAGTGTGACCTGGCATGACCTTGCAGCCTTGCCCTCCTGAACACAATAATTGTTCGTGCCTCAGAGCATCGGGACTTAAAGGTGCATTCATTCAGGGCAACTCCAGATAAGGGTTGGGACAGGAGGAATAAGGAATTCTTGCACACTGCCAGTGGGAGGGTAGAGTGGTGGAAATTAAGAACAGAAATGCACATGTGCACTATATATCAGGAAATGTGCTTCTGGGTCTCTATGATGCCTTCTCACACCTGTTTGTAAGGCAGCATGGGAGTCGATGTTCCCAGAAGCATTTCTTTCAGTGAGGGAACTGTTACTGGGTAGAAGGCAGGAAAGTCCCTGGTGATGCAGAAAAACAGACCACCCATAAGTCAACAGGGTAAGGGCCTCAGAGACTGGAAAGAGGGAATGAGGCCATTCCAGCCCAGAAGGAGACATCGGGCCTGGGAATGTTCTGTCACTGCCCCTAACAGCTTCAGCCACACAGCTCCTTAGTTATGCCTAACCCTACCCCTAGCAATGGCTAACCACTTAATCTTCTCTAAAATCCTTCCTCTTTTGCCAACAAACCCTCACCCCCACCCTTATGTTAATAAAGGCTTAAAAATTACTTTTCCTAGATTTGTTGAAATACTGAGCTAATTGGCCCCTTTCTGAATCCTATTCC